CCTCCTCCTCCTCCTCCTCCTCCCTCAGAGCTCAGACGCACGAGAGCTCACGGATTTAATGTCTGAACAAGAAAGGAACCTGGTCTCGTTTCTTTGGCTCATAGGTCTAGAAAACCAGGGCACACCTCCAGCAGTGAGAGATAACTCCAAGCCTTTGTCAGAGGAGACACGCGCGTAAAAAAATAAAAAAAAAATCCCGTGGCAGCTCCACTTTTGTCTTTTATCTTTTTTTTTTTTTTTTTTTTTGCGCGTTTTCATGGACACCTACAGATGACGAGGTGGCTCTCAGCATCTACGGGGATCGCTGATGGGGAACATGGCGAGGAGGGTGGCAGGAGTTCATCTCCTCGCTGTATTTTTCACCTCTGGAGTGACGCTTTTCTGGAACGCGGAGGGACAGGAGACTTTTAACGACCTCACGGGCTTCAGCCTGAGTCCGCCGTACTTCAACCTCGCCGAGGGCTCCAGGATATCGGCCACTGCGACCTGCGGGCAGGATGAGACTGGCGCACCAAGATATGATTTATACTGTAAGCTTGTTGGGGGACCTGCTGTTGGACTTCCAACTCAAAATATTCAGGTAAGAACCGCGCAAAACCGGTGCGTAATTGGTGCGTAAAAAGGAACCGGAGGAGCTTTGGAAATCGCTAAACCAGATTCCCATTTTGACAACAGGTTGTTTCATCTTACTTTTTAAAGAACTGTTTTTTCTAGGGCACCTTTTAAACAAGTACAAGAGTATATAAATCCCCCAAGGTACATTTTTTTTCCTGTCCTGCTTGATCAACTTGTCCAAATGCCAGAAATAGTTTTACACACTAGTTGTTTCCCACATTTCCTAAAGGAAACATCCTTCAACATCCCATCAAAAGTGCTCATTAAACTCCCCACTGTTAAGTGAAAAAAAAAGGCAATTCCCAGATATTTTATTCTTTTCCTGCAACTTGAGACATTCTCTGCAGCAAAAGCTTTTAAGTGAGCAGTATTCCAGTAATGTGACCTGCTTTTATTTAGGGTCAGTTCTGTGACTACTGCAACTCCATGGAGCCAAACAAAGCCCACCCCGTGAGCAATGCCATTGACGGGACGGAGCGGTGGTGGCAGAGCCCCCCTCTCTCCAGGGGACTGGTCTACAACGAGGTGAACGTCACCCTGGACCTCGGGCAGGTGAGAACAGCGTTGCTATGCGCACAACCAGATGTTTACCAGCTGWTGACATGCTTGTCTGAATAATGACAGGGTTTGCGGTGACAGTAAAATGTTGGCACCTTAATGTCAAAGAGGGAGGAGAGAATTTGTGCAGCTGGGTGGGAAAAAATACCCCAAAACAAAACAAAACAAAACAAAAAATAACAGTTGTCCTGTTTATGTGAAGTGGTGAAGCTTTGCCAGTTTGTGTATTTTTTTTCTCATCTTTTGAGTTTTTGGGTTTGTTTCGACCCACTCTGTTCCCATCACAAGGCCCCAGAGGTGTTGTGTGGTTATGTTTTCAGTGGGAGCTTCATCACCTCAGCGAGCAGCAATCATGTGCTGYGGCTGGACTCCTGCCAGGAATCAGATTCACGCCCGTTTGGCTGGAGCTCCCCATCATGACCCGTGGCGCTGGCAGGAGATTGGCCAGCAGCCTGTAGAACTGCACCTCACGCTCAATTATCCTCTGTGTGGAAAGAGAGGAATGCCGTCTCTGGATYAGGGGATCAGAGGCACGCAAAATCAGATCGGAGGCGTGCAGGTGCACACCTCGTGCACAAAACGACAGCTTTGACTAGTTTTTTTTCTCCTTCTTTTGGACAAGTAACAAAACTCGGCACACGTGCTGCACCTTTTGGCCCTCAGTGGACGCCCCCGTCTGACAATGGGTGCGGGCTTTTCTGTCTCTGTTTTTAGCCAGAGCGAGCTGAGAGAAAATCCCACCCGGCCAAAAATAGTGACCCTCCCCTTCCCCTCCTCAYGGTGGAGGATGGACACATGCAGGGGCCTTTCAGGGATGACTGCCTTTTTTAATACGTGGTAATGCTCAGTTTATTTGGGAGCAGGGAGAGCAAGCGGCCCTGAATTACAGTGTGCTCTTAAAGCGCRTGGTTAGAGTTGTGGCAACTGGACAACACTCCTCAATCGATACCACACAACCTCTCCCACATATACACACACATACCACATACCTGCCACAGCTCCAACCGCTAATGCTCTTAGCTGTCATGATTTTGATTTTTTTTTTCACATTCATTGGAATTTGAGTGAGGTGTCTTTCAGAGCCGATAGAAGCGTTTTCTTTACTCACCTGTGGGGTTTTACTGCTCATTACTGAAATCTCGGCCCTAAGCTGCCAAACGTTTGATAGTTCCCCGTGGTTCTTTTGTAGCTTTGTAGATTCTTTTGAAAGCAAGAGATAAACGACACGTTTAATGAAATATGTGGGCTAGACAGACCCTCTGAATGGGCGCAGTGTTTTTTTTAAGATGAATGCAGGTGGCTGTTCATGGTCTCTGCGGATCCTGCTCTGAGCAGATTATGTCAGATAATGGCACAATCCAAATGTTTATGTTCAAATGTGAAAAAAGTTCAAAGATTTTTTTTTGACAAGGCTGTTTCCGGATTCTTTGTTTCGGACTAGATTGTTTGAAGTGAAGACTGTTCTGCTAAGTTTAAAGCAGGACTAAGCTAAAACCTTTGTTAGTTTGTTAGAGAAAWATGGGCTCCAGCAAGTTGCAGTGATGGCTTTATTGATTTCACTGTCAAATGGAAGTATCCCAGCCACACTGGGTTGGACTGGTATGACAATTTGGGTAATCATGCTCTTTGAGGTTCCAACACGTGGCTCGATTTTTTGCTGTTTTAGAGTCAAATCTACAGTTTCTGGTTTGTAGTAAATCCTGACAAATATCCTGTTTAACCTGGATTCTCATACCTGAAACTTCAAGCCTCTGTTGCTGACTGGATTAATAATTATTTCACATTTACTGTAAAGACTTTACTCTTAGCTGCCCAGGCTGCCTGTCTGTAAAACGAGCCAGACTCCTGCAACTATGTGCTTGACAGTTGATAAAGTGTTTGTGTGTGTGTGTGCTTTAAAGACTGGCATAGCAACTTGTGATGCACATTTTGCCAAAGATGATTTGCCTTCTGAACGTCACAGTAAACATACCACATTTTTTTCCCCCAGGCAAAACATAAAAAACTTGAGGCTAGGGGTGTCCTGATACCTGTTTTTCTCAAACCAAGTACAAGTACATAGGGTGACAGTGTTTCAGGTGGTATCATTTAACTAGTGGGTTGCGTGTTTGAAACATTGCTCTGTTCGTCTGAGGCGCTATGTCCTTGGGCAAGAYAGTTCACCCATCTTGCCTGCTGGTGGTGGTCAGAGGGTCCTGTGGYGCCATTATAATGGTAGCCTCACCTCTGTCAGTATGCCCTAGAACAGGACAATTACCCYCATCAGTGTGTGAATGTGTGTATGAATGAGTGAAGGTCTGTATTGTAAAACACTTTGGAGTCCTTGGACTTARTAAAGAGCTATACAAATGCAGGGCATTTTTCCATTTACTTCAGTTTGGGTACCCGCCAATACTGAGCACTGATACAGAATACTTCCTGAGTTAGAACCTAAATAYTATGCAATGACTTTAAAACCACATTTATTTAGATCAAGGTGGCTCTCCTTCCTTATAGGCCTACAGCCCCTCTGACTGGATCACCTCAAATATACAGCATGATATATACTGGTGCAGCATTAAAAAGAAAACCATCAGATTCAACTTGTATGTATTTCTTAAACATGAATTGACAAACTTTTCACTTGAAATGTAGACTGTAACACATTCAATGGAGTGTTGATATGTATCCCAGTAGAGATTGATAAATAGATCCTGGACTGAACCAGTACTGAGCTTGTAAATATGAAATAACATTTTCATCATTTCAGTTCTGTAAAGTTTTTGTTTGTAAAGTTTAATTTATTTGACGTATTTTGGCTCAACACAGTTTATCCTGGGAAAGCACTTTTCTGTTCAAAATGTTACACACAAAACTGCAGTTTAAAATGTTTAAAATGGTTGCCATCACACTCTAGAAAATCACCCCAAACATATTCTCCATGCACGTCCTGTCATGAGCACTTTATGCCTTCAGTGTTTTTCTCCATAAGCTCCGTGTCAGACAGGCAAGCTGCTCCCTGTTTGTGCTCTCTTGACCTTTGACACCGACCCATGACAAATCCCATCTTTGATCTGGAAATGACCTCCGTGGTCCTCAGCTGCCTCTTATACGACCGATGGTGTTTGGCATAAATTACTGCAGTAGAGATTGATAGAATGAATAATAAGAGCTGTGATTAATTGAATGAATATAACACATCAGAAACATCTGATCCACAAAGTCGTCACAGATCAAAGTTTAGTTTTAGCAACACTTCATTTAAATAGTTCTAGGTGTCATTAGGAGTACGTGGCCGGAGCTTAAAAACAGATTTATTTTCCTGGAAGTTTTGAGCTCATTAAATCGATACACGACACAGTAGGCAAGTCATTGTTCTGCTAAACATTTACACCATAAATCAGACGGCTACTGGCTTTGTTTTTTTTTTTCTCGGTAAAGTATTTCAGGAGCCATGACCACACATGCTTATCTGCTTGAGTGAACGCAGAGTAGACCACGTGAGGCAAACATGCCAGGGCTTACTGCTGTATGCCTCCTGCCTGATGAGTCTACAACGCTCCTGATTGGTGGTCAGGCACTGGAGGGCTGCTGGACAGTACTGATTTAAAACATGGTTCTGTTTGTTCCTGATTGATATACAGAAGACGATGCCAAAGTTTTAGTGCAAGGGTAAAAAGTGTTTCCGAAGGTGTTGATTGCTGTTTGTGGGACTCCAGAACATCCTGTTGTGTATCTGTTTAAGCAGAATCCATCTTTAACTTTAGAGGATGTAAAAAAAAAAAAACCCCACGACTTGACTTCGTAAATGGGTTGGGAGTGCCTCGGCCCAAGTTGGTCCAATGGCTTTGACGATTCTTCAGTCACGAGACAAAGCCTCCAACTCAAGTTTTAGAACCATTCCCTCCCAAGAAACCTAATCCTCTCTCTCCGGGGTCCACCTYCCACCAATGTTGGTCTGAATGTTTTATTTGCAGCCTTCGCCCCCTTTTGTGTCTGAATCCTTCAAGGCGGTTTTGTGTGACATCCTTTCTGTGCTCTCAGGCTCTCACAAAGGTTCATTTTTTTTAAAGCCTTGTTGAAATTGACCTAGCCCTGCTTTTTTTCCCTCTCTGGGGTAAATGGATAAAAATAGTGAGGTGGCGTAATTTGGTGGTGAGAAAGTGCCAAGATTAAAAAACTATTTCATTTGAACATTTTTAGGTCTGAAAATAAACAAAAATATTTTACTTCTCTTGACAACTTTGGTGTTGGTATAATTAATAAAGATTAACTATTAATCATTGTATTATTTGTTATTGGTTTGATACCAAAATTAGTCGTGATTATTTGCCCAACACTACTTGACAGTTGATTTAATGTGTGTGTTTTATTAGTTATTTTTATGGAAAAAAAAGCACAACACATCATTTCCAACTGTGTGAAATTTGGTCTTATTTCTCTACAAGACTTTGTTTCAGTCGTTTTGTCGTTTCATTCAGATGAAATGCTGCAATCCTAAATAGTTTGCTGTGATTTTAAAGAGCAAATCTACTTTCTCCTGGCAATCCCAAAACACCGTAAGTCCATCCATCCATCCATCCATCCATCCATCCATCCATCCATCCATCCATCCATCCATCCATCCATCCATCCATCCATCCATCCATCCATCCA